TGTATTTTAAAAATTCTTTCCCAAATTATATTTTTTATTCAGGTATAACATACAGTGTTATGTTAGTTTCAGGTGTGCAATGTAATGATTCACAATTCTATACATTACTCAGTGCTCATCACCACAAGTATACTCTTAATCCCCTTCAGCTATTTTACCATCTACCTCCTCACTGGCAACCATAAGTTTGTTCTCTATTTTTAAGAATATGTTTTTTTATTAGACTTTTTCTTTGGTAACTATTAATCAGTTTTAAAAAATATCTTTTATAGCAATGGAAATTATCCAGTTGAAGAACGCATAACTATTCAAGAAATGATTAAAAAAATTTCCTTCTTTACATAACCCAGATAACACATAGCAGGGCCAAGATCTGAACCTGAGCCTACAATATATAAGATCATCACTTTGCCATATAAGACTATGAATTCATGATAATTTTAAGAGGTATGTCTATTAGTGAATACTCACATACTAATACAAACATCTGATTTAAGCAACAAAACTTCCACTTGCCAGTACTAAAAAAGGCAGGTGTTTTGGGCAAAGACTATGTATATGGAAAGAAATAGAGCATTTCCAACAAATCACTGAACAAATGCTCAGCATCACTTATAATAAAAATTCAAATTAAAAATTAAGAGTTTTCTAAGAATGTAATTGGAATAAACTTCTTTTTCCAGTTTCTACCAAATTTAAAAACATAAAAATCCTATGGTTTAGTAACCTCACCGTTTGAAATATATTCTGTTGAAATGCCAACTAAAATGTGCAATAACATTTATCACACCAATCAATGCCTATGGTGATAAACAATCACATTCCATCTAAATGTCTCCATTAACAGTTATAGATAAAATAAATTATGGTATACACACATGCATGCATGCGTGCATATACACCATAGGATACTATTCAAACTTTAAAAAGAATAAAGTCATCATATATGCACACACTTTCAAACGGGCCCACCATATATATTTAAGTTAAAAAGCAGGTTGTAAACCAGCATGTGTGGTTTGATTACATTAAAAATATGTGTATGTGTGTGTCAGTGTAAGAGAGGCATCTGTTTGAGTGTATAGAATGCATTCAAGTTATGTATGTATTACAAGAAAAAAGATTCCAAAAAAATGTACACCAAATGTCTTAACCTTGACCCTCTCTAAACAATGGGATTGGGGGGAGGGATTTATTTTTTTTTTTTTCTGTAGACTTTAAATTTTTTTAAGCTTGAATTATATCCGTATTGCTATGCTTTCCATTCCCTGTAGGATTTAACAGAGAAAGGTAGTCTCTTTTTAGGGAAAAAAAATTTTTTTTCAATGTTTATTTATTTTTGAGAGACAGAGAGAGACAGAGCATTGAGTAGGGAAGGGGCAGAGAGAGAGGGAGACACAGAATTCAAAGCAGGCTCCAGGCTCTGAGCTGTCAGCACAGAGTCCGAGGTGGGGCTCAAACCCACGAACCGTGAGATCATGACCTGGGCTGAAGTCAGACGCCCAACCAACTGAGCCACCCAGGCGCCCCTCTTTTTATTTTTTAAAAATCATTATTCAAAAAGAAAAAAAAAACTTAGTCTTTAGGGGCAGAATAGGGATTGTCCAAATCCTTTTTAGATGACTGTGGGTGCATTAAATAAGCCAACTTTGAGCAAGGCAAAAAGAGAACCTCCTGTCCACGCCAGGTACACTCATACCTATGGACTGAACCTTTCAGTTTAACAAGGAAACAAAACAGTGCTCCTTTAACTCTTTCCACTTCTGCAGGCCTCTGTCTTAACCAATTCCTCCCTGCTCCATGTTTCCCACCGCTCTCCCAGCTCTAGCTGCCACCAATTTGCTCTCTGTTGCAAGATATGAGAGAAAAGTAAGTCTGTATGGATTCAAAGATGAGTAAGTAGGTAAGAGGAAGTTAGTGGCCAAATATACAATTTGTTCAGGATGCTCATTTGCCTGAGCATCTCATCTGGTCCTGCATGCAGGAATGGAGGACGCAGAAACACACTCTGCAGCATGTTTTTGAAGCTTTGTTCTCATACCAGAACTAGGAGGTTCCAACGGAGAGGGCTTTAGAGCATACTAAACAGACACAAGCTTGTTGTCTTCACCATTTCACAAGTAGAAGAACATACTGGCTCCGAGCCAGGGTTTGGATCCTGAGTCTATCTCACCCAGCTTGGGTATAGAGCCCTGAGCAAGCCATTTCATCTCTTAGCTTCTTTTTCCTCACGTGGGAAACCAAGAAAATAATAGTATCTGGCTCATTGAATTGTTAAGACTAAATGAGAAAATGTGACCAAAAATAAGCATTCAATAAATGCTAGGCACTCTATAATTATTTGTAATTATTATGAGTGCCTTGGATACATCAATGCCGATTATTTCTAGATGAATTTATGCTTCAAGTAAATGTTTTTTAAACTTCAGAGAACAACACATTAGTTAGTCATGAAATCATTTTTAGTGGGTCACAGTCAGAATTGAAAAAAATTAAAATGGAATAGAATAATAATGTTTTTTTTTTAATAGAAGGCATTGCACATAAAAAGTTAATGTAACATGCACTGCTTACTGTGGTGAGAAGTCAAATGAGTTTGAAAAATCATGTTTCTGAGCCAACCAAAGGTGACAGACAAAATCTTCCCTAAGTGCTCACTCAGTCCTACTTAGTTCTGCTTTCAGGTAGAGTGAGCAGAGGCTCCAGAACGTTGGACATGAGCTGCTCTGATGGATGATTTTGATAATGCATAAGCCCGCTGTAGTTATCTGGGCAGTCAGAAGGCAATGGTTAGAGAAACAGTCCATTAAAAAATGTCGTTGTGCTCCTTCTCAAGTATATGGGGCAAGGGAGAAAGGTTTGTTAGAGCTAGCCCGGCCTAAGGACTCAGTTCTTGTTTTTGTTTGAAACTTTTCCTATGAATTCAAGAACTGTGATGGAAAGCCTTGAAATTTCCTTTAACTCTACAAACCTATCACTTGAAATTCCTACCTTCAGTAGGTAATGTTTGAAAAGAAAATCTACCAAGTTTGGTCTGATCAGGGGAGTGAAGAAAGTCAAAGAGTTTTGAATTTTCATTTTTCCAAAACATTATATAATACTTCCATGTTTCTGGATTTTTTTAAATGTCCATTTCTGCTGTTGCTCTACAAATGGTTTTGTTGTGGACAGGTTATAGCACCTAAACATGATGCAAGTCAAATACAACAATAATTAAAAACACATGGGTGAAAACCGGGCTCAAAACTAAAATTACATTGTCAGCACTGGCATTTTTAGGGAGATTATGCCCAAAGAACTAAGCTATCCCTAACCTGTAGGATCTTGCATTATTTTTCTGGATGTCCCTTAATATCCATGGTAAGTGCCATGGTAATGTAGCTGTACATATTTCTGTTGGTTTAAATTACTGTATTTGGTATTTTCCTCTGTAATGTTTTGAGCCATTTGTTGTTAAGTACATTTAGTTCCAACAGTTAGCCACCTAATATTAATAGGAGAAGATTATTTACTGAATATGACTCAACACATATAATGCTACAATTTTCCACTTTGTACCATGATTTCAATTGAAGTACGTACATCATCCTAATTATAGAAATTGAGGAAATTCCAGAGACCTCTGTTGGAATGAAAACCATATACTCTGAGTCGTATCTCTATCACCTAATACACATCAAATCACAATTCTGATCATATTAGCTAATGTGTATCTCTTTAGTATCTAAGAAAAAATTTTAACAAATTTAAAAAAATGTGTGTATCTACATAGAGTTATAGGTATAGATATATACATATCTGTATCTGTCAAATATACATATATATAAATATAAAGATTTGGCTTTCAGTGAAACAGTAAACATCTATTATTTTCTCCTGGGAATGGTATTTGTAGGTTTGGTGGTTATAATGAGGGGCTTATGGGGATATTTCAAGACATGAACAATTTTAAGGACTAACCCAGAAGATGGATAATAGAGAAGCCTTGATTTAGTATGTGATCATATTCTTGGATTTTTTTTATAAGACTCATATATATATCCCTGTCAACCACCTGCCCATTCTGATACTCTGGATAAATTAAATTCCTAAATCTCCGTTTTCTTGTTCCTAAAATTGAGTAAATAATACCTTTAGAAAATGTGTTTTCATCCTGTTATTACAGTTAATCAGCAGACATGTTAAAGATCAAGAGTAGAAAAACTAAATCCAAGAGTAACTATTTCACGGAAGTTGGGACAGTCATATAACAGATTATTAAATTAATGATCCTCTGATGAATGCAACCTTAAATATACACATCCTTGTATAGTTCCCTCTCACAGTGACTCAGAGCCTGGCCATGTGACTTTCTCTGTCCAATGAGACGTTAGCAAATATGACAGAAGCAGACAATTGATAAGTATATGCACATAGGGGCTTAGCTGCTAGGTATGCTACTGTCAACATGTAAGATTCCAGGGTCGACTGCTAAAGAGAAGAACCATATATCCCAGCCAGTAGCGCTTGCTAAACACCATCTTGGACTATCCACCCTCAGCTGAGTCACTCAATGACAGTAGCTACTTGAGTGGACCCCAAGCAAGGCCATCAGGAGAATCACCCAACTAAGTCCATTGTGCAGAACTGTGAGCAAATAAATGGTTATTTCAAGCCACTACATTTTGGGGTTGTTATTCACAATAGATACCTGATATTTTCAGTAATGTGGTAAGAGAAACCTTTCATGCTATTGATATTAAAATCAGTAAATGAAAACTAGGAGTGACCAATCATATACATTAAAAAACATATACCACTCACATGTAAATGAATAAAACAGCAAGTACACAAAACAATCAAAAAATATATTTTAAGATAGAAAAGCAAACATAAGTCTGCCTTTGTTAAATTTCCTATGCTGGACTAGTACTTTGTGCTGCATAGACAAAAAAAAAAAAAAAAAAAAAAAAAA